GGATGTAGGTGAGAGGTCAGCCTCAGACACAGCAAACAAAAGGCAGGACACAGTTAGTTGGAGGGCCTCCTGGGTAGGCCAGGGCCTAGCCCCCAGCTGTGGCTGCAGAGGGCCTGTGTGTGCCGGCCACTGTACTCCGTGGTATTCGATCCATGTCACTTAGTGCTTTCTCACCCCCAACACACACACTCCACACCAGGACACCAGGAGCTTTGGAGCAGCCAAGCTGTTTGCCCAACATCTCACAGACAGTACATTATGGAGAAGCTGGACTTGAATCCAGGCTGCTTTTAACCTGTAGGCCGTGCAGATGCTGAACTACCTAGGTTAGAGGCTTTCAAGAGAACGTGCTGAGGGAATGGAAACAGCGCAAGGCTGTCACAGAGTCAGGGGTTGTGCTAGGCAGCGCTTAATGACATCCAGTGGGAATGAGACTGCCCTCAACATCCTCCTTGAAAGTCAACCCAAGCCGGACAGAACCTTAATGCAACACCACGAAGGCAGGTGGGGCCAGCGGATGTTGGGGAGGGAAATAGGGTCATGAAATGGGAAGAAGAAAGGTAGGGCTGGTAGGAAGTGCTGAGGGCGCCAGCTCCTCTCTGTGACACATTGTGAGGCACCAGACCTTCTTACTCGTTGCTAGGGAATGTTTTTTTTTTTTTCTTCAATCCAAAATAAACCGGGGGGAGAGGGAGAGTAGAGGGAGTGGAAACAGTCACATTCACAACCATACAAGTAAAAGGGTGGGTTTTCAAAAGCCATCAAAAGCCAGCAGCCTTTGGGTGAGGAGAAGACCACTAAAAGATAGCCTCCAAGCAGCCGGGACTATCTCCTGTCAACATCTGCAGCCTCGGCCCACCTGCTGGAGACCAGGCATGGCTCTGCCTCCCTGCCCTATGGCAGCCCCCTCTGCCCTCTATGGGCCCAAGGGACCAGCTTCCTGCTTTGTTTCATGAGGGGTACAACTCCCCTGCCACCACAGGCAGAGACTGCAGCAGTCAAGAGCACAGAACTCAGGTCTGCCTTGGTGACCACAGATGAGCGGGACTGTGACTTCCTCAGGTGGGGACCACAACTCCCACCCTCACCCCACGCCCAGTATGCAGCAAAGACCTTAACAATTCCTAAGAGTTTGTTTGTCTGTTTATTTATTTATTTTAAAGATTTTATTTATTTATTCATGAGAGACAGAGAGAGAGAGAGGCAGAGACACAGGCAGAGAGGGGATCCCTGGGTGGCTCAGCAGTTGAGCACCTGCCTTCAGCCCAGGGTGTGATCCTGGAGTCCCAGGATGGAGTCCCATATCAGGCTCCCTGCATGGAGCCTGCTTCTCCCTCTGCCTGTGTCTCTGCTCTCTCTCTCTCTCTCTCTCTCTGTGTCTTTCATGAATAAATAAAACCTTAAAAAAAAAAAGAGAGAGAGAGAGAGAGAGAGAGGCAGAGGGAGAAGCAGGCTCCACGCAGGGAGCCAGATGTGGGACTCGATCCTGGGACTCCAGGATCACACCCTGGGCCGAAGGCAGGTGCTCAACTGCTGAGCCACCCAGACATCCCTTCCTAAGAGTTTAATAGGTGAACTGATTGTCACCCTCCTCTACCTCTGTCACTTCTTCCTGCCTTGAGAATAAAATCCAACTTCCCCAAGTGGCCTCCTAGGCCCTGTGGGCCCTGGCCACTTCCCACCTCTTCTCGCCCCCTCCTCTCCTGACTCACCCCTCTTTGCCCTCCACACTTCTGCCCTTCTATCTACATTGAACCAGATCCCCACTGTTGTTCTCCTTCCTGGCACCCTGCTCTCTGCTGGAGTCCAGACCAATTGTATGTACACGATCTGTGTGTTTGATGCTGGCAGACTACAAACTCCCCGAGGGCCAAGATTGCTCCGCACCCCTAGCACAACCCCTCAATAAACATTTACTGAACATGAGAAGATTAACAGCCCCCTGACCTGACCCTGTCCAAGCGGGCTGTCAGACCAAGAAAATGAACAAAGAGGTCAAGAGCGGGTAGGTACAGCAGTCATCCGGAGGCCAAAAGGACACAGTTCTGGGAAAGCCCCATTCTTCCAGGGCTGGGAAGCCAGTCAGCCTCCTATCTACACCAGGGGGGCTGGGGAGGCAAAGCCCAAATGCCCCGCACCACTCCTTATCAATCTCATCCGGTGGGCAAGGCAAAAAGAGCTGAGAGGCAACAGAGAAACAGGCTCTTTCCTTCTCCCACCTCACCATGCTGGAACCCAACACTGTGTCCATGGCCAAATTCTGGCTGGAGTCCCGAGGAGCTCTGAGAACCTTTCAAAAGGTTCATGCCAATTTTCTTTAGAGAACAAACCAAAGCAAAGGTCCTACAAGCAACAAAAAGCTGATGAATTTGCATCTCAACCAGCTACAGACCAGCCAGCTAGTCAGCTCATCAAGTTTAATTCAATAAATTCCACAAACGGCCCAACTGCTTCTCTGCAATTCACCCATCCACCAAGTTTGAAAATATTAGGCCTAAGCAGAAACCTTGACCCTAAATCCTCAGGCACTCCCAGTAGGCAAGGCATAGAGGAGACTCGTGCCTCCAAGAGGCAGCAGGCTACTTGGACTCCAAGAAGCAAGGAGCAAGGAAGCCAGAGAGATAAGCTATGTGGAATCGGCAGAGCTGTCCGGTAAGAATGCTGGGTCAGCAGGTTTGCCAGGTAGTCAGAAAAAACAAAATCACAGGCAGGAGCAAAGGCACGGATAAGAAGTTGATGTTCAACCTACAACCTGACCCTTCACCTTCACTTTGGTTTATAGAAGGGACGGGTCAAGCCTCTCATGGGCTTCAACACCAGCTCAGCACTGTGTCGGCACAATCTCTGTGGCTCCTCCTACTTAAACGGAGGAAGAAGCCAAGGTTGAGGCAGGAATAAAGTGACCAGCCCCAGTGCTGCCAATGCCATAACTTAAATCAGTGGACAATCTCAGGGGAAAAACCCAAGAATCTGACCTTCCATAGTAGGTCCCCCTGCCTCCCTCTCAAATCAACCACAACAGTCCCTCAGTCTGGACAAGATGCTAAAAGCTTCATCAGGTGGGATGCCTGGGTGGCTCAGTGGTTGAGCGCGTCTGCCTTTGGCTCAGGTCCTGATCCTGTGATTTGGGATCAGTCCCACTTCGGGCTCCTTGCGGGGGGCCTGCTCCTCCCTCTGCCTGTGTCTCTGCCTCTCTCTCTGTCTCTTGTGAATAAATAAAATCTTTAAAAATTAATTAATTAATTAAAAATAAAAATAAAAGCTTCATCTGGGGACGATGATTTTTAAAACCCTGGGTGCAGCCTAAAAGAATCCATCAAAGAAGGCGGCAGGAAGGGTCATGATCTAAAAGGGTTGAAAAGGAGAGAGGAGGAGCCAAACACCCCAAACTGCTCCTTCTACAGAGTCATTAATCTGCTAACATCTCTTAGGCAAAGCAGAAATCTCGTTCAAGGAACAAGGTCTGAGTGACTCTCTCATCTCCCAAGACTTCTTGCTGATGTGCAGAAAGGTCTGCCAAGAACCCTTTAGGCTATTAGGAAATATTTCTGAGTAGCTAAAGGCTAAAGGTTATAAATGATACACTCCCTGCCCTCTCCCAGGTGGCCTCTGCATCCCCTCCATTTCTCCTGCCCTTAACCTGTTCAGCAAAGCTTCCCTAGCGACTGAAACACTCAGGAATCTCCTGGGACTATCAGGAAAGGGAGAAACAAGGACGATTCTACATGGGGCTACAGGCAGCAGGAGCTGGTCTAAAGCTTTTGTTTCCCCCCACTTATTTTTTTAAGATTTTTATTTATTTATTCATGAGAGACAGAGAGAGAGAGAGAGAGGCAGAGACACAGGCAGAGAGAGAAGCAGGTTCCATACAGGGAGTCTGATGTGGGACTCAATCCCAGGACTCCAGGATCACACCCTGGGCTGAAGGCAGGTGCTCAACCACTGAGCCACCCAGGCGTCCCCTTCCCCCCCAATTTAGAATGCAAGGAAGAAAAGGCATGCCAGTAGTATTGATTCAGAGGGTCAAACTTGAGCTATCTTCCTCTAAGGGGACTCACATGGCGGCTGGATGGCAAAGGCACTGGGAAGAGACATTACGGAGTTCAACTACTAGGTAGCCACTGCTGGGGACAGCAGAGGGTAGAGGGAAACACTTCTGATCAAGGTTACCTAGGACAGGGGTAAGACAATAGAGGTGGGGAGCCACTTGGGTCCTACTGTTTGGTTTAATCTACTGACCTTCAGCAATGAAGATCCTGGAATGGGGTCAAGGGGGTGTGAAGGCAGGCATGCGGGGTTAGGTATCTTACAGACAAGAAGCCTCAGCCTGCATTCAGCAACACCAATGGTGTGGCAAAGGGAGAGGAGAGAACTAGTGTTATTTCCCTAAATACCCTCTCGCCTCTCCCAATTATGGCAGGCAGACAGAAGGCCATTGGGAGGAAATGTCCTTTGGAAAATCATAAAGCGGCAAAAATTGACAAGAAATAGTAGTTGACATGCCCTATGAGACTCCACGATGGCCTGACTAAAAAACCATCTAGATTCTAAATGAATCTTCTATGGGGTGGAAACCAAGCTACTTCCTCTCTCTTGCTGCACCCCAGCTACTGAGTCAGGAGTTCCTCTTTCTCACAGTCAGAGAGCAACATATTCAGCGCAAAGGAAGTGATGTGCTACCCACTGGTAGGAGAGGAGTTCAGCAACGTTCCTAGGCGGTGGGAGGAACACCCTGGACTTTGGTGGTTCTGGCTCTACCGGGAGTCCTCAGCTGTGTGGCCTCGGGCAAGCCAGAAGATCTGTCTGAGCCTCAGTTTCCTCATCCACAAAACAGGACCAATGACACGTACTCAAAAGAACTGGCTGAGAATCAATCAGATGGGGTTTCTGCTCAACGGCAAGTGCTGCGCAGCGAGGTGGTACAGCTGCCGGGTTTTCTCTGCCGTTTTGCCCTCTCCCAAAGCTCCCGTCCCTGGAACCATCCCGAGCCCCCGTCTCACCTGACTCGGTACACAGGTACGAGTAAAAGCCCTCCGACTTGAGCATGATGAGCAGCGAGCCCCAGCCCAAGAGGACTGCCGAGAAGAGGAGATTTTCCAACACGGCTGTGCAGGCCATCCACCAGCGGCGCCGATGGGCAGTGGCCAGGGTGGGCGCCATGGCGCGGCGTGGCGCGGCGTGGCGCGGCGGCCTGGCTCCGGTTCCGCTCGGCAGTACCCTGCACACAGACCTCGGCGTCAGCACCCGGCCTGGCCCAGCCCGTGCGGCCAAGCCGGGCCCCCGCCGCAGCGCGCGGGGCTCGTCACCCCTCCGCGGCCCAGGCCGTAGGTGCGCGCGGCCAAGGAAGCCCCAGCCCGGCCAGGGTCCTGCGCACCCTGCCCGCGGCCGGCTCGTGCGTCCGCCGTCAGCCGCGGGACAGCGGCCCCGGCCAGCAGAGACCCCTCTCCCTCGGCTCGTCCGGAGGTAACCTGAGGCACGGGAACAGGAGGGACCACCGCACGCTCAGGGATGTGGAATTAGTCCTGGCTCTCCGTAGGTGTGACACCGGGTGGGGAGGTCCGGATACCCGCGCAGGGCCGTACCCGACGGTTGCCACTCCCTGGGACCCCGACGGGTGCCCGCCCGCACTCGAGACCCTTCCCGGTAGCCGATTTCTTCAACCACAAGATCCGCGCACCGAGCCCGGATCGGCCCGCCCCCGGCCCGCTCATTGGCTGACGGCTGGAACCTGCAGCGCCATTGGCCGCTGTCTAGGTCGCTAGGCGCTGCGGCCACGCGAACCCCGCATGGGAGAGGCGAAGCCGGTTCAAACCGGCAGCGCGAGCCACCTGCGCGACCCCCGGCCTGGGCTGTTTCCTCGGCATTCAGTCGGTTCCCATGGAGGCGTACTCCAGTCCCGCCACCTCCCAGCTGCCTTCTCTATTCGTCATCTCTTCCCCGCCGTCTCTTCATTGGTCTCTTTCCTCTCATAGGCACACGTCTTCTCCCTACGCCCCGATTCGTGCGCCTTCTGCCCCCCGGCACCTCTGCACAGGACCCTGCTCCCCGAGACCCAGCTCACTCCTCTCCTACCTGCGTGTATCGGGCCCGGCCGGCGCCTTTTCTGCCTCCTTTTATTCCAGCGCTTTTATTCCGACCCCAAGATAAAAACACTGCCGCACGCTGATTGGCCGAGCAGAGGCTGGAAACAGGCATGCACCAATCAGCAGCCACCCGCCCGCCCCGCGGCGAGCAGAAGCCGGTTCCGGCCGGACTTGGAGACAAACAAGAGAGCTGGGGGGGTCGGGGGTAGCGGCGGCTTGGGCTTCTCTTCTACCGCCTTAATCTGGAGTCACAGCCGGTCTGGGAATCCCCGGGGGCAGTGCCCGAACGCCTCTCCAGAGCCTCACTCCGAAGCCTCACTCCGAACCCTACTTGGGTTCGGTTCCCCCGCCGATGTTCCGGTACCCCCGGACTGCATGCCGGTCTCCCTCGCACAGCCAGCTGGGCTCTTGCACTCCGTTCTGCGCCGTCCTGCTTCTGTGGTCCTCAGCTCTGTGCTCTGAGTGGGTCGTTCCGCTCCCGCCGCCTCCGCTGCCTCTGCCGCACAACGCTGCCATCCCCGGCGGCCTCGGGCTTTGTGTTCTGATTCCTCGCTCGCCTGCCCCCAAGTGTCCTCCATCCAGGCGCTGTGTGCACATCCCGGATCCCCGGACCCCTGTCTCGGCGTGGTGTGCCTCTTGCCTGCTCTCCTGATTCACAGACCTCTTTCGGGGGGCCGTTTGCCTGGCCCCTGGAAAATGTCGGGGATCCCTGGGTGGGAGTTCGGAACTTGTCTGTACCCTAGGACGGTCCTCTCCTGTCCAGGCTGCCCCCCTCCCCGGTTCCCGCTGCCTTTGGTCCCCTGGGGGATCCCCACGCAAAGTTGACCGTCCCATCTCCATTGTCCTGCACCACCTCCACTCCCCCTCCCGTCCCATTCCTGGACGTCAGCTTCAGGGGCCCTCTCTGCTCGGTGACGCAGCGGGCAGCGCCTCCGGGAGGCGCGTGGAGTCGGGAGGGCTCCGGACTTGCAGTCTGGAGGACCGCTAGGGCGGGGGATGGAGCCCGAGCACCGGACACTGGGCATGGGCAGCCCAGCGGCATGTCCCTGATCGGAGTCGCTAGCCCGATCTCAGAGGACCCTGGGTCTACCCCGCGAGTCAGCTAGGTCTTCCTGGCACGCGTTAGGGGCCTCAGCAGTCTCTGGTTTCACGTCCCCGGATCCGAGTGCGCCCCCTGCCGTCGGGAACCCGCGGATAGCCATCTCGCTCACACCCTGCCCGGCGCTGTGGGCCCCGGGGAATCCTAGCTGGTTACCCATCCGCTTACCCACCCCGCAGAACCTCACCTACTCACTTGAGACTGCCTGCCACTCGCTAAAACTTCAGTACTGCCCTTCCTCCTTACAGCCACTTGCCTGAGGGACGTCTCCAGGCAGCTGTTCCACACACATCTCTGAACTGTTTCAAATATAGTTCTAAAATAATTCACTTTTGGGACGCCTTCGTGGCTCAGCGGTTAGGCGCCTGCTTAGGCTCAGGTTGTGATCCAGGGATCTGGAATGGAGTCCCGCATCAGGGTCCCTGCAAGGAGCCTGCTTCTCCCTCTGCCTATGTCACTGCCTCTCTGTGTCTCTCATGAATAAATAAATATTTTAATAAATAAAATAATTCACTTTCCAGACCCTTGGGTGGCTCAGTTGGTTAAGCCTCCAACTCTTGGTGTAGGTTCCAGTGGTGATCTCATGGGTCCTGGGATCCAGCCGGCCTGGGGCTCCCTGCTCAATGAGGAATGGCTTGAGATTCTGTCCCTCTTCCCCTCCTCCCCCATGCACATGGGCATGCGCCGGCTCTCTCTCAAATCTTTAAAAAAAATTTCACTTTCTATCCCCAAAACTGTCCCTCTCATTCTTTCTCAGATAATAGCACTACTACCTACCAAAGTTAGATACCATGAACCATCTTTTCAACATTTATTGGATACCTGTTATTATTCTCCCTCTCCCTCACCCCACCCACAACCCACCAATACAGCCATATCTCCTAAATATTTATCTAATTTGTCCATCTAGGGGATCCCTGGGTGGCGCAGCGGTTTAGCGCCTGCCTTTGGCCCAGGGCGCGATCCTGGAGACCCGGGATCGAATCCCACGTCGGGCTCCCGGTGCATGGAGCCTGCTTCTCCCTCTGCCTGTGTCTCTGCCTCTCTCTCTCTCTCTGTGACTATCATAAATAAATAAATTAAAAAATTAAAAAAAATTTAATTTGTCCATCTATGTCCCTAGGACTGCAATCACTGTTCATCTAACCTCCAGTCTCCGCCCCTCAAATATATTTCTTTACCCAACCCCATCCCAGTGAGCTGTGGGAAAGATAAATCTGACCTTAGTAAATCTGACCTCTGCTAAATTCTTCAGAATCTCTCTACCGTTTGTCCTATAGGATAAAGTTCAAGTTCTCTGTCCTAACTCTAACCGGCACAGGATCCTCCCCACCAGTCTTTTCCTCTGCCTAGAGGGTGGTTGACCTGCCAGGTGCTCCAGTCACATGGAATTACCTTTGGTTCCTGCACATGCTGTTCTCTTACCTCTGGCCCTCAAACATAGACCCTTCTTGGGACAGCACTTCCTTCAGGAAGCCTTCCCTAACTACTCCCCAAAATGTTCTCCACTACCTTAATCCAATGATTGCACTGTTTTAGAACTATTCATTTGTCTCTCCCTTTTGCCACTGACTATGAACAAATATTTGGGGGCAAGAAGTATGCCTTACTCAACAGTTTACCAGCCCTTAACACAGAAGCACAAAGCAAATGCATAATATGGAGCTTGTTGAGTGAACACATGAACAAATGAAAAAGGGTGGGAGGTGTCAGCTTCTAGGGACAAAGGATTCAAAGTTGGAAGGATGATGGCAATTACCCTTTATTGAGAACTAAAAATTTGCTAGGTGCTTTACATAGTTTGTGTCCTTTAATCCCCACAATAACTGGAAGATGGCCAGGATCCCCATTCCAAAGTCCCCAGATGAAAAAACTGAAGTTTTCCATACCATTTCAAAGTGACAAAACAAGTATATCAAAACTGAGATTTGAATCCATGGCTATTTGAGTGAAATTCTGGGTTTGGTTCTTTTTTCAGTCTTTTTGGCAAGGGTACCAGCACTGCTGGCAAATCAAAAGAAAAAAAACACTAAATTAGCAGAAGAAAATGCAGATGATTATTTCATTAGTTTTAGGGTAGAGAAGACCTTTCTACTAAGCATGACATGAAACTCAGAAGTCAAGGGGTGCCTGGGGGGCTCATTTGTTAAGCATCTGCCTTTGGCTAAGGTTATGACCTCAAGGTCCTAGAATTGAGGCCCATATCTGGCTCCCTGCTCAGCGGGGAGTCCGCTTCTCCATTTCCCTCTGCCCTCCCCCCCCATTGAGCTCTCTCTTTCGAAGTCTTTTTTTCTTTTTTTTAAGATTTTGTTTATTCGTGAGAGACACACACACACAGAGAGGCGGAGACACAGGTAGAAGAAGCAGGCTCCATGCAGGAGCCCGACGTGGGACTCGATCCTGGGACTGGATCCTGGGACTCCAGGATCACACCCTGGGCTGAATGAAGGCAGGCACTAAACCACTGAGCCACCCAGGTATCCAAATAAATAGTCTTTAAAACAAACAAACAAACAAACTCAAAAGTCAAAAAGAAAAATACTGTCTAAATCAAAATTTTAAATTTATATAGAGAAAGAAAGAAAACAAACAGCATTAAACGACCAGTCACAAATAGGGAAGAATTAATATCCTTGATATACATAGGCACTTATAAATCAATGAGGAAAAGATGAACACCTCAATTGGAAATTGGGGAAAGAATATAACCAGATAACTCATAGGAAAAAAAACACAAATAATTATTAAAGATATAAAAAGAAGCTCAACCTTAGAATCATTATAGAAATTCCCATTTTAATGGTATAATTTTTGATGGTTAAAAGCAAAAAACCATTTTACCGGCACAAAGATTTTAACTTTTTAAGAAACTTTAGCATATTATTTTTCTTGTACTAAAATAATGAAATACCATTTCATCCTATCAGACTGGGTGTGGGGAAATAGATCTTGCCCTCATTTGTGAGAATACAAAACCATGTAACTTTTTTGAAGGGCAATTTGAAGTCCCCAAATCTTTTTTTTTTTTTTTTTAAGATTTTATTTATCTATTCATGAGAGACACAGGCAGAGGGAGAAGCAGGCTCCATGCAGGGAGCCCAACGTGGGACCAGGGTCTCCAGGATCACACCTTGGGCTGAAGGCACCGCTAAACCGCTTAGCCACCTGGGCTGCCCAAAGTACCCAAATATTTAATGTCTTATCCTATTACCCAGCAATTCCACTTCTAGGAATCTCTTCTACAGAAAAACTTGCACAAGTGCAAAAAGAAATATGGACAGAATAGTACACTGCATCATTTATTGTATCAAAATGATTAGAAACAACCCAAATCTCCATGGGTAAGGGATAGGCTTAAATAACCTGTGTTATTTCTACATGATGAAATTCCATGCAGCCGTTTTTTATAAAAAGAGGTAGTTTTATATTTACTGAACATCAAAAGACATCCAGGATATATTAAGTAAAAAAGCAAGTTGTACAGTGATATGATCTTTTGTTTTCATGTGCCCAGAAAAACATCTGAAAGGAAGGATCTAAAGTGTTCACAAGACTCTGAGCACTGGGATAGAAGAGGAAGCTGCTGTTTCTGTCCTGACTAGGTAATTCAACATGTGAGAAAATAATTCAGAGCAAGACCAAAAGGCATTCAGTGACAATGGTCCCTCCCCTGTCCCTCAGGCTCCCCTGGGGAAAGAGGAAATCTTTTTTTTACTTTATACATGTCTATAATGTTAGTACTTTCTTATTATTAGCAAAGAACATTGTTTTTAAAATTTGTTTTATTAAATCTAGTGAGAAAAGTAAAAAGAATGCTGACCTCACTAAAGAAAATTTTAAAACAATACAAAAGTTTAAGAAGAAAATATCAGCCACAATCTCATCTCTCAGAAGAAAAAATACCTTTCCCTCAAATCTTTTTTTTTTTTTTTAAAGATTTTACTTATTTTTTCATGAGACATACACACAGAGGCACAGAGACACAGGCCGAGGGAGAAGCAGGCTCCATGCAGGAAGCCTGACATGGGACTCCACCCCAGGACTCCAGGATCACGCCCTGGGCCAAAGGCAGGTGCTAAACTGCTGAGCCACCCAGGAGTCCCTCCCTCAAATCTTTTTTATGCACATACATCTTAAAAAAAAAAAAAGTCTGTAAATCACAAAATACACACAAAATAAGATTCTAAACATGGAGCCTGAGGCAAAAAGAAATGAAATTTATAAAAAGACCTCTTATTTTTTACACTTCCCATGATTGCATAAACAGTCTCCCATATTTCCCGTATTAAATACTCTTACACAATATGATTTTTCGTGGCTGTTTAGGAACCTATCATAAGCAATCTTTCTTTAACCGATCTTTTATCATCAAACATTTAGGTTGTTTCCCATTTCAGAAAAATGTTTTGCCAATGAAGAAAAGAATAGGCTTTGAGCCCAAAGAGTCCAGAACAACAGAGAAAAAGTCCCTGCAGTCACCTTTTTCCCCTTCCTGACCCTGCCCTGTGGGGTCTCTGCCCAGGCCTCCCAGACCTCTCCCAGAGCACTGCCAGGGCCCAGAGCCAACTGGCCTCCACTCTGACAGTTCCCTATCAAAGGGCAGAGGCTCCAGTATGTCTTTCCTGGCCCTGAGATATTTTTCCAGCAAAACACGATCTGATCCAGGGGCAGTTCAGATGCCTACCCTCCATCCATATACTTCCCACTCCCCAAATTTAGGTTCTCAGGGTGCTGGTGGCCCAGAGATGGGTGCAACATTCTCATACTGGGGTTCCTCCTGCCCTTCCTCATCCGCCAGCTTCTGGGGATCCTGCTCTTGGGAGCCACCCTCAGGGGCCAGCTCCTGGGCCCTCCCTGAGTTCTTGCTGCCATCCCCTAGCCCCCTGGCCACTTCCTCTGGCCCAGTTCCAGCAGACTCCAAGGGCCTAGTGAGCTCATCATTCAGGGCTAAGCTGGGACTCTGAATGGCAGAGCCAGAGGCCAGCCCGGGGCTGCCCTTATTTCGACTAAGGGCCCGGCGTGGAGGCTTAGGAATGGCACTCTTGACCTTGGGCTCTGCCTGGCCTTTCTGGAAGCTACCAAAACGTCGGAGAACAGACCGGACAGGTCCCTCAGATAACTGGGGTGTCCCTGCCAACATATAGATCGTGGTCACAGAGCCTGAGCCCTCAAGGACACTGCCCTCAATGGCTTCCACTCGCTCAGCCACTGTCCAGCCACCAAGGGTGGGGAGGCGGCGGCGGCCAGTGGCTGAATCCCTGGGGCTGGCAGCACCAGGAAGGGTCTCATCCATTTCTGCTTTCTCTGAGCCCATGGACTCCTCAGCCTCCTGGCTTTCAGGACCCAGCTGGGCCCCCCGGGGGAGCCGCTTGGGCTTTCGGAGAGGACTGGAGATCTCCCCTGAGCTTCGGCGACTCTGTGGTGCAAACTTCGTGCCTTCGGCAAAGGAGACTGATGGCCGCTTGGCCCGTGCTAGGCTGGAAGTCCGCGGGATGGGAAATGGTGTGGAGGCGTCCTCGGGAGGAGGGACGGGACCTTCAGGCAGGCTGGCCTCTGGAAACTCTCCGTGGGCCACAGTGACCATCCCTGGCAGAGGAGACAGAAGGACTTGGCCAGAGCTGGGCTGGCCACCCCGATTCATCCTGTTTACTCAGTTTAGCATCTTCTGGGAAGCCTCATCCATAGGGCAAGGAAGAAGGTGAGGGTACAGAGGCAGGGAAAGGGCCTATTCACATAGACACTACTCCTTGTACACACTTTTCTCACCACTCCTTCCCACTTTGAACTAATACCACACTGTAATCAAGCTGAAAACTCTTTCAGTGCCACACAGTCTTGTCCCTCTCACTTTTGGGCCTCTGCGTGCATTGTTTCTTCTTCCTGGAACACCACCATTCCCACCCCTCCTTAACTGTCACTTGGTTAACTAACTCCTACTGATTCTGCTAGACTCAACTCCAAAATCACAAGCACTGAGACATCTTCCCTGACCCTAACCACCCCTGACATGGCTGAATGATGAGCCCTGATTTGTATGTTCCCCATCAAAGCCTGTATCACTCCGTCCTACACATGCCTGATGACACCCACCAGACAACAAGCTTGGTGAAGACAGAAGTCTGTCTTGTTCTTTCTCACATCCCACAGCTGGGAATTTAACCTGCACTGGAATGCGCACTTGATACACATTTGCTGAATGAATAAAGAAATGGTAGTGAGCAGGGCTGCTCGGGGCGAGCGGGCTACTGGAGGGCTACCTTCTTGGGGTGGCATGCAGTAGGCAGGGCTCTCGTCCTCTCCAGACTCAGGATCAGAAGAGAAGGAGTCGTCTGAGGCCCAGCCTGCAGAGGGCGGCTCAATGAAGCTGTGGTTGAAGGGGATCTCCGGGTCGTGGTGTGAGACTGCAGAGGGCTCCAGGTCAGACGTGGGGTTCCGTGGAAGACCCTGTCCCGTCCCAGCCCCAGACCTGCAGCGTCCACACTGACCTGTCACCCAGGGAAGCTTGTGGCTGCCAAAGGAACCACAGGGCAACGCCGAGCCAAGGCTGCTCAGTGCTCCCCAGACCTGCAGCTTCATCCTGGACATAGCAGCTCTGTCACTTGCTGGCCTGAGGGCACATGGGGTAGTCAGTGCAGGTGACCACTAGCAGGACCAGGACCCTCCCGGTCCTGGGGTTAATGTGAGAGAGGCAGTGTGACAGAGTGACTGCCTACTTCTGTGCTTCCCTTTGATACAGAGTAAAATCCAAACTATTGAGTGTGAGATTTAGGCCTGGCACAGAGGGCACTGAATTGAATTCAAAATTCAAATAGAGGGGATCCCTGGGTGGCTCAGTGGTATAGCGCCTGCCTTTGGCCCAGGGCATGATCCTAGAGACCCAGGATCAAGTCCCGCATCGGGCTCCTTGCATGGAGACTGCTTCTCCCTCTACCTGTGTCTCTGCCTTTCTCTGTGTGTGTCTCTCATGAATAAATACATAAAATCTTAAAAAAAAAATTCAAATAGACCTGGGTAGCCGGTCTGGTCCAGGCTTCATCTCTCTGGGCCTCAGTTTCCTCATTTGTCAAGTGGGGACACCTCCTATCTATCAGACCTTTCTTTGGAATGCCAGGCACCTGATGGGGTTCCCCAAGATGCAGCTTTGTGTTATTAGCCACCACTGAGTCCCAGTGCAGCTATATTTCTGGAAGGGCCACCACCTCCAGGAAGCCTGTCTTTACCCAGGCTCCGTGCCCCAGGGAGGGGCTACTAGGTCTGTCATCTGTGAATATCCCATAGCACAGAGGAGGATGCTCAAGGATTAGTGCATGAACTAATAAGAGAGCACCACAGAGAGAATCCAAAAAAAACAGCATGGGCTCTGTGATGTGCCAGGGTCAGGCGGGGTCACCTCAGGCCTCCACATCCTCCTCTGTGAATTGAAAATGCTAATCCTCCTGTCCCCATACTCCTGCTTGGAACCAAACCTCCTAGCTGCTGCAGATCTCCAAGGAACCAAGAAATGTGAAGAGATTTTGTAAAGGAACAAAGCTCCATGGAAGCAATATTCCCCTGCAGCAGGCCCCCACATCCCCACAGGCCACTCTAATCCTTCCTATTATCTCCTTTTCTCAGAAAGCCACCATCTCTGCTAAACCACTGCTCCCTCCTTTTGGGAGATGGGGGGTTGGAGGCCTGGTCTCTTCCCCTCTCTGCCCAGAGCTGCCCTGCTACTTCCACCTCCCATACCTTCCTCCTCTGGCCCCTGTTAATAAACCCTCAGCCATGTGCTACAGGTTTGAGTTTCACCAGCTTGGCACCCAGTGCCCACTGCTCACGCTCATGCAAGGTGGAAACTCGCCTATGGAAGGCTTCCAAGGAAGGCAGGCAGCTGACTCGGTGTCTTCAGGTCACGGCCACTGCCAACTACCTCATTACCTCTGACTTAAGTGTATGATGAGACCAGCCCTTCCCCACCCCTGAAAGGAACCTGGATGCCAGCCTGCCCCCATCCTGTGGCCTGAGCTGGAGGTGGGGAAGGGACAAGCCAGAGTTCACCTGTCCTTAGGGTCCAACCGGGCAGCCCAGCAGCAGCAGGCACAGAAGATGATGCCCAGGAGGAGCAGCAGCAGAGGCACAAGGATGCCTGCGATGAGGGTGGCATCCTGACCATGAGGCCCTAGGGAGAGTGGGGGATGGACAAATATTCAGGGCCTTCTGTCTTCCATACAGCAGGTCTCATCTCCAGCAATAAGTTACCTCCTCCCCAGAATCTTCCCCAGGCCCTTCCCTGTAGGGCCCTCCCCTTTTTCTGAGAGATGTAGGCTGGACTCAGCCCAGAGGCCCTCTCCCCAAGGCACCCTCCCTGCTAGCCTGTCCCCTCCTGATGGTTCCTGGCCTGTTCCACAAGCCCTTGCTCCCTATTGTCGCTCCTAATACACATCCCTTCTATCAGGCATGACAGTTACTTGCTCATTTCCTGGATCTGGCCTGATTTCTCAGGAGGCAGGGGCTGTCATACCTTCAGGGGTTCCCCAAAGCACCCATACAGATTTCAGGCATAGGGAATGTCTCCAAAATGAACCCAGCCTCCCTGGCAAATGATATATCCCTGAAGCCATATAAAGGGCCAGTCTTTCCCTGGTTACCACACCCTGCACCCTCCTTTCCACCTTACCCAGCTGGCAGGTCCCAGAGACAGAATTGCAGGGTCCCTCTGGGCATTCACAAGGAATAGAACAGTTGTTGCCATAGAAGCCAGATGGGCATGAAGTGTTGCAGCTATGGGGTGACAAGAGATACAGGCTGAAGGCTCAGTGAGAGGAGATAGAGGTGGGCAGGGGCCAGGAGAAGGTAAATTTCTGGGCCCTGATCCCCACCCCCTGCCATACAGACTCCCCTGGATGATGCTCAACCAGACTCCTCTGACCTCTGAGCCACATTCTAAGTACCCCTGGCAGTGTTAGGGAGAATCCCCTAGCGCCTAAGCCCATCATCCAGAGAGCCCACCCACAAGCTGCCCCTTGGCCCCCAGGCTCCCAGAGTATACTCTTCGGGCAAGATCCACCTCTCATGATCCTTATCCCAAGCACATCTAGCATTAACGTGAAATAAGCAAGATGCCTATGGCATCCAGAGAAAAGTCTTCCAGGTCTGGAGGTCTGAGACCAGCTTTGCCCCACACTCTGGGCCTCAGTCCTCTCCTCCATAAAATGAGGTCTCTTCCATTCTGTCCTAAAGATAGAAAACCTGACGTTGGAGACATTGACCTTGATTATGTATGACCACCTAAAGACCTCAGAGAAACAACAATGGAGTTGGAGTCCTTCCCCTAAATAACTTCCCCCACCTAGTTAGGAAGCCAGGCCTTTTAGATTAAGCATCACTCTGACCCTACTTTGGAAGGTGCAGACCTCACAATAGGAGGAATAACTTCACAGTTATGAGTATGCTGGGTGGGTATCTGGGAGGTGGAGAAGCCCAGGAAGAGAAATTCAGGAAACAGACTGGACAGAGGCCTTACGCAGGCCCCATCTCCCTGTCAGGGCCCCAGTCCTCACCTGGGTCCCCAGTAGCCAGTGTTGCAGACACACTCCCCAGTCACAGCATCACAGGACCCTTGAACACAGGTGGGGCAGGTAGAGCTACAGCCCTCCCCAAAGGTGCCAATCGGGCAGGGGTCTTCACACCTGAGGTGAGGTGAGACTCGGTTTTTGGCAGGCCAGGCCAGGCCTGGCAGGGCAGAGCGCCCCCAGAAGGGTCCTACCCAACTTCCTCCATGCTTCTGGACTCAGGGCCCCAACTGTCTACTCCTCAGCAGTGAAGCTCAGGTGTAAACAGGGCCTTAAACCGGGGGCCAAAACTAAGAGTGACAGACTACAGATCCCTAGAGGGAGAAGAGAGCAGGACACCCAAGTGGGGAAGGAGCCTCATCAGCACCATGTCTCTCCCCTCAGTCTTCACCAGGAGCCAGGCCCCCAAGGCTGTGAATGTGTGTGTTGGGGGAGGGGCCAGCTATTCCAGAGGGTGTAGCTGGAATGAGGATCCTGAAGGAAGGTGTACCCCACCCTGACAAAGCCAGCCCTCTCACCTGGGCCCCAGCCACCCAGGATCACAACGCCAGCAGTGCCCAGTGTCTGGCTGACAGGCCTCCCCACGCTGGCAGTGGGGGCACTGCTGCCGGCAGTTCTCGCCAAAGGTGCCAGGTGGGCAGGGCTGATGGCACTGGGTCCCATTCCAGCCTGGCTCACAGGACTCACAGCTGCCTGTGTCTGCAGAGCATGGCTCCTTCTGCTTGCAGTGGCCACAGCTGGGGAGAGAAGGCGTTCATGCAAGCACTGTAGAGTGGATGGAAGAAATATCCACCCAGGCCTCCAGGGACATTGGAGAACATCCAGGTTTGAGGCACTCAGGCAGGTTTGAGCCTCAGTTTCCCCGTATTGTACAACAATAAGCCTGGACAGATGATTTCTGTAGGATTCCAGCCCTCTCCTTCTAACTTCCCATTCCAGGACCCAGCCTTCCCAGGGTTCCAGGGTCACCAAGAGCTCCCAATCCACCCAGAACAGCCAAGTTAGCTTGGCCAACCTTCTCTTCAGTATTCCCTCTTACCCTTTATCTCCTCTCAACCCTCCTATCCATGCTATCCATGCTATCTCTGAGGTCTGGCATGATTGGGACTCAGTGTATCTCCTATCCCATAACATGAAAATGCTTAAAAATTAAAACATGCGGGCAGCTCAGGTGCCTCAGTGGTTTAGCGCCACCTTCAGCCCAGGGCGTGATCTTGGAGACCCAGGATCCAGTCCCACGTCAGGCTCCCAGGGGGGAGCCTGCTTCTCCCTCTGCCTGTGTCTCTGCCTCTCTCTCTCTCTCTGTGTATTCTCATGAATAAATAAATAAAATCTTAAAAAAAATTAAAACACACCTGTCTCCAACACTATAATCTCAAGTTTATCTTATGTTTAAAAAAAGTTTTCAGGGCACCTGGGTGGCTTAGTTGGTTAAGTGTCTGCCTTCAGCTCAGGTCATGAACCCAGGGTCCTGGGATTAAGCCCCCTGTTGGGCTCCCAGCTCAGCTGGGAGTCTGGTTTTCCTTCTCTCTCTGCTCCTCCCCTTGGCTCCAGCCCTTGTTCACTCTCTCAATAAATACATAAAATCTTTAAAAAGAAAAGTTTTCTCCAGGTTTTTTTGGGATGTAACTGTCATAGTGCACTGTGTAACTTTAAGTGTACAGCATAATGACTTGACTTACATATATTGTGAAATGATTACCACGGTAACTTTAGCTAACATCCCTCATCTCATACAGGTACAAAAAAGGGGGAAAATGGTTTTTTTTTCTTTGTGACAAAAACTCTTAGGATCTCCTCTCCTAGGAACTTTTCCTTTTTGTTTTTCTCAGATTTTATTTATTTATTCATGAGAGACATAGGAAGAGAGGCAGAGACATAGGCAGAGGGAAGAGAAGGAGGCTGCATGCAAGAAGCCCGACGTGGGACTCGATCCCAGGAATCTGGGATCGAGTCCTGAGCCAAAGGCAGACGTTCAACCACTGAGCCACCCGGGAGTCCCATGTTGTGTTGTTTTCAATTGTCTTTAAGTAAACGCCGTGCCCAACGCCCCACGCAGGGCTGGAACTCACAACCCTCGCGATCAGAAGCTGCAAGCTCTACCTACTGAGCCTGCAGACGCCCCGAAAACGGATTTTTTATTGTGGGTGGGGCGGCCAAAGTCTGCAAGGCACTAGGTTGTAAAGGGACCCTGCCATCGTCTGTCACGGAGTTCACCTTTTATCGAAGTACAGCTGCTGGCACTACTACTGTCTGTTTCACAGTGACCGGACGAAGGGCTGGGCGGGGCTGACCCTAGAGCATCCCGGGTCTTTCCCCGCTTTCGTCCCGTCCGCGTCAGTCCCTGCGTAGAGCGCCGCGCCCCGCCCTCCCTGCGGCCCCGCCCCCGCCCCCGCCGCCCGTGGCGGGGGAGCCGTCACCGCCCCTCCCCCATAGCCGCCCCTCCCCCCCGCCCCCCCAACCCCCGCATCCCCGCTCACCTGTCGCGGCAGTGGGGCCCGTAGCTGCCGGCGCGGCAGGGCAGCTCGCAGCGGGCCCCGCGGAAGCCGGGCGGGCAGGCGCACTGGCCGGAGGCGGCGCTGCAGCGGCCACGCACGCACTCGCACGGCAGCCGGCACTCGGGGCCCCACCAGCCGGGCCGGCAGGCGCAGCGGCCGCTCTCCTGCGCGCACGGCGAGCCGTGGCAGGCGCAGCGGAAGCTGCAGCGGCGGCCCCACCAGCCCGGCTCGCAGCGGCAGGAGCCGTCGGTTTGATCGCAGCGCGCCGCCGCAGGGTTGCACTGGCACGGACGGCGGCAGGTGGGCGACCACCAGCCGGGCTCGCAGCGGCACGCGCCCGTCGCGGGGTCGCAGCGCCCGTGGGGCCCGCAGGTGCACGCGAACTCGCAACGGCCGCCCCAGCGGTCCGCTTGGCAGTGACACACGCCCGTGGCCGGCTCGCACTGGCCATGGGGGTGGCAGGCACAGACCTCACGGCAGTCGGGGCCCCAGTACTGGCCCGGGCAGCCTGCGGGGGTGGGGTGAGGTGGGGAAGGAGGTCGGTGGGCTCACAAGAAAGGGGGGCGCCAGGCCCACCCCCAAGAGCCTCAGACGGACCCTTGAACATCTGGCAACCTAACCTCCTGGGGCACAGCCCACTTCCTGCCTCAGACTCCAAACTACAAAAACCCTTTGCAGTAGCCCAGCTTCCTACTTCATACTCTTCAAGTGGCTGAGTGGGAGAAGCTCTGCCCAGAGTCACACAGAAGTAGGGTTTCATCCATGCCCCTTCCTCGCCTTCATGCCCATCCTCCCTCCCCCATCCCCAACCCACCCCACTGGAGGTGAACTGAGCATCCTGAGTGTCCACCCCGGCCTGGATGCTGACCGTGAGGTTCACAAGGGAAGCCACATAGGCCCCTAGTGTCCCCTTTCAGCCCTGATTCCTGCTCTCTGGCCATCCTGCCCACCAAATCTTTCCCATGCCCCTTTTTGTACCAGAGAGGGGTCTCCTTCCACCCTCCAGGCATGTATAAAGTGCACCTGAGGGAGCCGGAGCCTGAGAATGTGTCCATTTTGCAATTAACAAGGATCACCAGTATCTTTTTTGAGAAGTTGAACATGACCTGAAAGCCACAATACTGAAATCCTGGGGAGGGCTTTGTGGATATGGGCAAAAACCAGATGACTCAGGGCATCTTCTGGCAATGCCTCACTTCCGGACTCTGGGCCTCAATTTCCTCAGTGAAGCTTGGAGGGATTCTGGCCCTGCTATTCTTGAGATCACATTTCTACCGGCTTTGCCTCCCTGGCTCCCAGGTTCTGCCTAGCAACATCATCCTCCAGGTGAAACTCAGGACTCACGGGAGTTGCATTGGGCCCCGAAGAATCCAGGTTTGCATCGACAGAGGCCCGGTTTCACACATACTTCATCTTCCTGGCAGGCATCTGGCCCCTCACATATGGCTGAAAAACATCCCACCCAGGTGGAAAAGACAGTGGCATGGCCCAACAGGTGAACACTCTGCCCCTCTCACTGACTCCCAGTCCTCTGCCCCCTCAAGAGCCATTCCCTCAGGGCTGGGGGTGTGTGTGTGTCAGGATGGACTCTAGCTCTAGGTCTCAGGAGGGGAAATAGGCCCCAGGACGGGAGGAAGAAAGGGTCACTGGGCTATGTCCTCTTTTCTTCTCGGGTGGGGATCCGTATCCGTTCTGGCTACTCACGGATAGTGCATTCTTGATCTTTCTGCCTCCAGCCTGGGCAGCACTGGAGCTCAGCAGAGGGGCTGTGGGACAGAGAGGGGTCAGCTGGGGGACAGACTGGCTTTGTAGGTAGATCACTGTCTCTGGCTGAGATGTGGGAGGCTGCCTCAGCCCCATCAGGCAGGCCTAGCCAAGAGTCACAGCCCTGGTGTCCCTAATCCCTTCCCTTTCCTTCCCGGGCCCTCCCACTTTCTGCCTGGAGTATCCACCACCCTCCAGGCTGTCCCCAAGCCCCCTTCCCTTCAGCCCCATGACCTCTTCCCTCATGTCCTTCTTCCATGCAATGCCTCAACACCAGTTCACCCACCACCCTCACATCAGATTCCCACAAAGACCCACCTGCTGGCCATGCAGACATGTTGTCCATTGGGGTCCAGCTTGGACCCTTGGGTCCCCTGTGTCCAGAGCAGCAACAGTGGGAGCAGCCTCAGTCCCATGGCGGCCAGTCCAGCGAGAGGGCTCCTGTTAGTCTGGCCCCCACGGCTCCCATCCCCCCTCCCTGCTTCCTTCCAAGGCCTTTCCTGAGGAAACCAGTGTGAAGGGGGCGGGCTGCCATGCGGCACCTCCCTAAGAGGGCGGGTAGGTGGGTGCTGGGAAGACCAGACACCAGATGAAAAGGAAAGCTGTGGTGAAGGCAGAGTGGGGGCTGTAGGGGCTGGTCTCAGTCTGGAGGGGGCAGGAAGATGTCCCAGGATACTGGGGACAGGCAAAGGTATAGGGTGAGAGTGGGAGCCACGTCTTTCCATTAGGTCATATTACCCAAGTGAGGCCCTAGCAGGAGAAGTTCCCCACCCACTAACAACCAACAAGACCCTGTGAGGAAACCTCAGCCTGCCCTTGGTCCTGGCAGAGCCAGGTAGGAGCAGACCAGTAACACACAGACATGGGACAGTTTCTGGGTATCATGGGCAGATACTTTATTATATTAGCTCAGGCCATGCTCATACACCCTTGGGAGGTAGGTAGCTCTATTTTATGGATAAGAAAACTGAGATTCCAAGAGGAAGCACTTTTATCTGGCCCCTGAGGCTTGGCACAGAGATACAGGGAAGGAAGGTAGGCTGAGCTCTTCATCATGCCCTGGCTCAGGCCAGGACTGGGAAAGAGCCTGGGGAAGGCTGAGAAGGAAGGAGCCCTGTCTTCATTTGAGGCCACACATCCACCCATAGCCAGATTCCAAAGTCAGGTCTCTGGGGCTGCTGAGACCCCCAGAGAAAGCTGTTCATCAAGTGCAGAGCAGAGCCAGTCAGGAATTGAGGACTGTAGAGCTGCCCACAGGCCACATATGGGGTTCCTGTAGAGCCTCCTCTTCTCCCCCTAGCTCACTGGGCACCGTGCTGGTCTGGGCTTCAGGGGCCTCTGTTTCACCCTGATAGGACAGGCCAAAGCTGGCAGGGAGAGAACCAAGAGGTACTTTGAACTTGGATGCCAGAGAGGTCAAGGATATGGGCTCAGGGCAGGGAGTGGTGAGAAAAGGGGATACAATAGGAAGAAAGGGCAGCATGAGGTATTGAGGAGGCCAAGGAGCCAGGGCCAATGGAGGGAGTGGCATGATTATAGCTCAGGACAGCAAGATGTCAGTGGAACAGGAAAGGGGAAAAGAACAAAGATAGGGCCCCCCCTCACCCTTCCTCTTCCCCCAACATACAAACGCTGGATTCTGGATTCAGTGGGTGGAGGGTGGGCCCCCTTATTGCCAGAGGGCAGGAGCCATGAGCTGTCTTCATCATCACTGAGGCAGAGAAGAGAAGAGAGGAGATGTGGGGATTGTTCATCAAGGCCCTGGGGACAACAGGAATCTAACTATGTTCAGACCTCTGTACAGTACCCAGGAACAGCCAAGGGAGGACAGAGTGACTATGGGACCCCCAAGGCTGGAGAGAAGGAGGTGCTAGGGAGATTAAGGACATCTTGAGGCTTTTATTTTATAGCCTCAGAGCAGGCTCTGACATGGCTATAATTAAAGTCTTAACCCTTTGAAAACACACAGATCCAGCCAAGACAGGAAAGTGAAAAATTAACGTGGAAAAGCAGTGTTACCAGATTTTTTCAGCAGGATGTATAGTGAGCATGGCAAGTGGGAACAGTGCAATCCAGAGAGAAGGGTGCAGGCTGGACAGCAGGCTCGGGGTGGGGGGTGGGGTGACCAGGCCAGAGTGGCAGGCTCAGCTGGATAGCTTGGACAGCAGGCTCAAGAGGTGACCAGGTTGGAGTGGCAGGCTCAGGGAGTGACCAGGCCAGAGTCGTAGGCTCAGCAGGACAGGCTGGACAGCAGGTGCAGGGGTGACCAGGCCAGGTAAGCAGGTTTAAGAAGGGACTAGGCTAGGTGACAGGCTCAGGAATTGATGAAGCTAAGGTGGTAGGCCAAAGGGGTGATTAAGATGGGTTAGAGCATGACCAGGCTGGAGCATCAGGCTCAGCAGAAAGAGCGAGAAAGGGTTGGCTCAGTGGGAATGGAGGCAGGGACTTACCTGCTCTCTGCTTCCTCTGGGATCCCTAACATCTTGGCCTTGATCTTCTTCCGCTGCTTCTTGACAGCCACCTTCATGGCTTCAAGGAGAAGCCCAGGGACCCGGTGATCTGTGAGCAGCTCCCTACCCGAGGAGGAAAAGAGGCAGAGTAAGCAGCAGGAATGCCAGCAGTAGGTTTCATCCCAAGTACCTGTGCCTGTCATTCTCCTTTTCTGAAATGTTCTGCCTTGCTGACATCCCTCAGACTTAGCTTAGGTGATGCCCCTAGGAATCTTTCACAGCTGCTGTGACTTTTTTTACTACCTCCTACCCCATTTGGAAGAAGTTCCAGGAAGGCAGGGGCTATGTGACTCATGTCTTCCCAGTGTCCAGCACAGCACCTGCCATATATCATGATGGGTAGATCAGTGAACTAAGGAACGGAGCTGGTGATGTGAGGCTCAGGACAAGTGTGAGTGGAGCTTCCCAGCCCCTGCCCACCGCCCTCACCGCTGGAAGTAGGCCAACTCCTCCTTCAGCAGGAACACGTTGGCTTTGAGCTCATTCCGCTCCTGAAGGATCTGCTCGAGCTCCTCTCGACTGAAGCTGCACTGTCCTGCCTCGGAAGGGCGCCCTGGCTGCTGCAGGGCAGCCGCCTGCAGAAGGACAGGCTGGGTCAGAGGGTTGCCTCTGCCGGTGCCCCCCTTTTCCCGGGCCATCACAGGAATGCTAGAGGAAGCGACTGGCCGGAGACTTGGGGAGGTAAGGGAGCTGCGACAGATGACAGCCCGGTGCTCTGGCCAGCGTGGGAGCAGGGACGGGCTGGAGACGCGCACTCGTGTGCCACCTACCAACTTCCTTTTTTTTTTTTTTTTTAAGATTTATTTATGATAGAGACACAGGAGGAGGGAGAAGCAGGCTCCATGCCGGGAGCCCGAAGTGGGACTAGATCCCGGCACTCCAGGATCGCGCCCTGGGCCAAAGGCAGGCGCTAAACCGCTGAGCCACCCAGGGATCCCCCACCTACCAACTTCCTGATGGACCGGCTAGGCAGGACAACAAACCCAGCCCGAGTGCCCAAGTGCCAGACCTGTGAGGACTGCGATGGGCACTCACCTGGTCCTCAGGGGTCCCCGGAGCTCCTGCGTCGGCGGTTGCCCGCTCGGACCCCCGCCTCTGTGCGTCCCCGGCCCCCCCGGCACAGTCCCGCGCCGGCTCCACCGCCCCCTGGTGCGGTAGCTCCCGCTCTCCCTCGCGGTCCCTCGCGGAGCGCAGCTGGGTCTGCACCGCTGCCAGCTTGTGGCGCAGCTCCGCGTTCACCAGCAGGAGGCGCTGCAGCTGCTCCTGCAGCTGGGGGGCGGAGTCAAAGAGGAGGTAGGCGGGGCGTCGATGGGCTGGGTGGAGAGCCCCGCTCACGCCCATCGCCCCGCCCCGCCCTCACCGCCTCGGTCTCCTGGCTGCGTTGGAGCAGATCTCGGTTGTGCGCCCGGAGCTCGTCCCGCTGGCGGTCGGTCACCTCCTTGAGCTGCCTCAGGAGAGCCCGCTCCTCTGAGGAAGGGGCGTTCTTAGCGGCGGCCTGGGGAGGAGGCCCGGAGCCGGCCCGCCCCGCCCCCTGGCGGTGCCCGCACTCACCCTGTGGGCCGGAGCGCAGCTCTCTGCGGAGGCGCTCGTTCTCCTCCCGCAGCCGCCGCAGCTCCACTTCGGCCTGCTGCGCTGACACCTGCAGCTGGGGAGTCCAGGCTGTGAGGGCGAGGCTCCCGCCAGCCCTGCGGGTGGCCAGGGGAAAGGGCGGCGACTCACTGAGTCTGGGTCCGGCCCTACGGCAGCCTTTTCCAGGAGCTCCAGCGCCCGCACCACCAGCGGCACCAGCCCGGCCGCCGCCTCCGGCCCGAAGCGGCGCGCCAGCTCCTTCAGCTCCGTGCCCAGGGCCCCCGCTAGATGGTACACGAGCTCCGCCGCCGTCCCTGACCCCGCGGCCACCCGAGGCCCGCAGCTGTGCACCCCAGGTACCGCCTTCCTGGGCTCCATGTCCCCAGAAAGTAAAAGGCCACGCGAACCTCCCTACCCCCACCCACAGCCCTAATTGGGGCAGGAAAAAGCCAACAGTTCCGGCCCAGGAAGCAGTTTCGGGCAGTGGGGGGCGGGGAAGAAGCGACAGAGGAGGAGCGATGAAGAAAAAAGGTAAAGGCTTGAAGGAGGTTGTGCACTGGGCCCCCTGGGCTCTGTCCTGTTTGAGCCCCCAAGGTCACAGGAAGCAAGACTGCCGACTTCCAGCCAGGCGTCCAAGAGGTTGAGGTTCAGGGCTCTAAGTGGTCACTTTTGTCAATCCCTCCCCACAGCGCGCAATCCAGGCTCCACCCCTGTGTCTGGAGTCATGAGGCCCAACTTGGCTGCCAAACACCACAGGCAAGAGGTGAGAGGTAGGAGGGCTGTCAGGCCTCTGCCAGGGACAGCCATCTGTCCAGCCAAGTGCCTGTTTTCCCAACCACCAGTGACACAAAGCCTAAGGGGCTATGCTGGGCACCACAGCTGTCGGGAAAAATTCACAAGCTTCTAGACTCAGAAAATGGCAGCAACTGCTCCAAAGGAGGCTGAAAGAGTGATAGTTTGCAAATATTTTTAAGGGAAGTAGGCAGACGTGGTCAAGGCAGTAAGGGTGTTAAAACCCAACCCCACCTCTATTCCCTGAATCTACAAGTTTCTTGATCCACAGCCCCCGAGTAGGGAGGGGCCTCATGCCACTTAAAGACCGAGGCCACAGCCCCAGTGGCACAGCGGTTTAACACGGCTGCCTGCAGCCCAGGGTGTGATCCTCAAGACCCATGTCAGGCTCCCTGCATGGAGCCTGCCTCTCCCTCTGCCTGTGTCTCTCCCTCTCTATTGCTCATGAATAAAAAAATAAATAAATAAAAAAAAACCAAGGCCACCATCTTGCTGTGAATAAGGCCAGCCTCCTGCCATCCCTACACCCAGAATTTGAGCTCAGGGGGAAAAAAACAACCTCAAAAACTCCTATTTATACAAAATTTATTATTACATTTTGCTCAGGACTACATGCCACGAGAGATCAATTACAAGAAGCACAAACAGGGAGAAAAGGAACCAAGCTGCTGAATGTCACCAGCTTCTCTTTGGGGTTTTGTAAAAGGCTCCAGTCTTGGGGAGTGTGAAGGGGGAGGTGAGGAAACAACTAGGCATAGAGGTCTTCTCGGTCCGCAGAGTAGACCTCACCCTCTTGCAAGAGAGCGAAGTTGAGGAAGTGGGAAGGTCTGTGGACCTCGTGGTAGAACTCTTTAGGATTTGCCAGCTGCAGCTCATACTTCATGTTGGGATCATGCCGGACACCTTGGGTTAGAAGAAAGGGCCAGTGTTAAGCAGATGCACCTGCCTCACCCAGCCTGGGCCCTTGGGCCATCTTGGAACCAAGGCCCAAGTGCCAAGGGTGATGGCCTAACCCTAGTCCCAATTCCCTGTGCTCCTCAACTTACCCATAAAGTTGTAGTTCCATGAGGACTGGGCAGGGACCATAAAAAAGCCAAGGAAGCGATCTGACAGCAGCATCTGGACCCTCTCATAATGTGAGGGTAGATAGCCCTTGGGATTGTTGCCCTTATCTGTGTTCTGGCGACCCCATTCATAGCCACTGGGGGTCAGCTTATAGGCTGTCAATGTGCAGGAGCCTGGTGTGAAGCTGAAAGAAGATGAAGACAGAGTCTGCTCAGGCCACCATTCTAGGCCCTGTACTGCTATGCCTGCCCCACCATACTTCCAACCAAGGAGGCCCAAAGCTACCTGCAGGTGATGATAATGGTCTTCTCACCATCCCAGGATGGGTTATCAGCCATGATCTTAGCATGAGTGGTGACATCTTGGGGTGATAGCTGGGGGGACTCGTTGGGCTGAGTGTGGATCCATCCTAAGGGTTCCATCTCCTATAGGCAAGAGACATAAAAACTATCTAGAGCCCCATCCCCATCTGCAGACAAGAATCACCTCCATGAAAATTAACATGGCTGCCTTCCTCCCCCCATTTCAGCAGAAGAAAGCCCCCATTCTCCCACACCCCTGCTGACCTTGAGGTACTCGTGCTGGGGCAGCTGGCCAGGGAGGTGCACAGTTTGGTGAGTGCCCCACTGTGGTACCATCACAATGCAGCGGATCTCCTTCACCTGGGGGTTATCTGGTGGACTCACTCCATACAGGTATCCTGCAATCTGGAAACAAGAGGGTTAAGAACCAAAAGGATTCTTAGTACCACTCTATCTCTGGGCTGCCAGCCCTGTGTTTCAATTCCCTTCCTCACAAAGAATAGGTCAGAATGTGGTCAGAATATCTTGCATCAGAATTACCTGCTGTGCTTTTTCAAAATGCTAAACATGGGCAGCCCGGGTGGCTCAGCGGTTTAGTGCCGCCTTCGGCCCAGGGCATGATCCTGGAGACCAAGGATGAAGTCCCATGTTGGGTTCCCTGCGTGAAGCCTGCTTCTCCCTCTGCCTGGGTCTCTGCCTCTCTCTCTCTCATGAATAAATAAATAAAATCTTTTAAAAAAAATTGCTGAACATGGACCTCATCTCTGACTTCCCACATCAGAATCTTGAGTGGGGTCCAGGAATCTGCATTGCTCACATTCCCTGGTTGATTTTTTTAAATTTGAGAGTGAGCAAGAGAGCCTAAGAAAGGGAGTGGCAGAGGGAGACAGAAGTTCCCCACTGAGCAGAGAACCCAATGTGGAGCTTGATGCCAGGACCCTGTGATCATGACCCAAGGCAGACGCTTAACCAACTGAGCCACCCAGGAGCCCCTCCTCAGTTGATTAAGTATAGAGTCCATAAATAAATAAGCATATCAACACATGGTTCCTGAATTTTCACAAGCTGAACACATCTTTAAATCCACCACTAGGTGGTATTTTAAACTTTACACTGCCATCAACAAAGTAGAAGGATCTGTGTTCCTATAAAATCATGCACAGAGAATATTAACAATCTTTTCAAATTCACCAACCCGAGACCACAAATTGGGTGTTTTATACAGTATGAATTATCTGATTACCCACAAAGCTAAGCCTCTTTTCCCAATTGTATTTCCCATCTATAGTTCCTTTTCTTTCTTTTTAAAGATTTTATTTATTCATGAGAATATGAATAAATTCTATTTATTTTATCTATTTATTCATGAGACAGACACAGACACAGAGAGAGAGGCAGAGGGAGAAGCAGGCTCCATGCAGGGAGCCCAACGTGGGACTCAATCCCAGGTCCCTAGGATCACGCTCTGGGCTGAAAGCAGGCTCTAAACCGCTGAGCCACCCAAGCTGCCCGGCAGTTCCTTTTCTAAACTACCTTCCAGTTCTTTGCCTATTCTGCAGTTATCTTTATTTATTTAAAGATTTTATTTATTTATTCATGAGAGAGAGAGGCAGAGATCCAGGCAGAGGGAGAAGTAGGCTCCATGCAAGGAGCCTGATGTGGGACTCCATCCCAGATTCTGGGATCATGCCCTGAGCCAAAGGCAGACACCCAACCGATGACCCACCCAGGTGTCCCTATCTTTTTTTTTTTTAAATGAACTTCTGCAAATTCCCTATTCTAGGTTCTACCCATCTTAGAATTATGCAAATATTTTCTTCCTGTTTTTAGTATGTCTTTTTTTTTTTTTTTAATATGGAACGCTTCACAAGTTTACATGTCATTCTTGCACAGGAGCCATGCTAATCTTCTCCTGATCATTCCAATTTTAGTATATGTGCTGCCGAAGCGAGCACTGTTTTTAGTATGTCTTTGTCTCACACAAGTTATTGATTATAATTTAATGTTTTGTGTCTTAAGAAGACCACCCCAAAACTAAGGTAATTAGATATTTTCTTCTAATACTCTACAGCTTAGTGTTTTGTTTTACATGCACATCTTTACGTGCATTTTATTTTTTAAGTGTTATGAGGCAGGGTTCTGATTGTTTCAGTATCATTAACACATCCTTAATCCTACAGACCTGTTACACATTTATCATAGCCACATGAATCTGTTTCTGACTATACGCTATCCTCTTCCAATCAATTGTGGGCCAATACACCATTTTCTTAATTGCCACAGCTTTATAACGTTTTAGGATTTGGTGGGAGCCAAAATCCTTCTTGCTGTTTCCACTATTCTTATATACTTATTCATGTATGAATGCTGAAACCAGCACCTCAAGTTCTAGGCAATCTTAGGTGAGCTTTAGGCACATAAAATGTTGGCCACACATTATGGTCTAATTAAACACACTTACTCACTTGGGCCCGAAGGTCAGATATGCAAATAAACTTCTTAAGCACATTCTTAGGAAGGATATAGGTATAACCGGTCTCCTTGATGTCATCAGAGGACACGTAGATATGATTGGTCCTTAGGTGAAGGTTGGCAGCAGAGATGGCCCTAAAAACGGTGGGGAATGTCAGCACTTCCGAGGCCTACAATGTCAGGTAGCATCAATAGGCTTTGCCATCCCTATCCCTCTCATTCCTTAGAGTACCTAACCCTCCATTCAGTCTTAGACGAGAAAGTCTGGGTCTCATAGTTGCTGGTGGTAGAAGTAATGATCTCATCGCCATGCTTGTTGACAGTGCGAGTCTGCGTTGCTGTCAGCTGTGACTGTTCCTTGGTCTGCTTCTCAATCTCTGCTATCTGCTGCCGCTGCTGTGATGGTGCCGAAATCTCCATACCCAAGATGATGTCTCGAATTTCTGACTGTGTCAGTGATGCCACATTGACGCTGTGGGGAAAGCAAGGATTATACCACAAGATCCCTCCCCTTGGTCAATTTTGTCCAAATGGCAGAATGTAACTTGGTAGGACAGGGGACCCAATGCCCTTACCCCAGACACACCTCAAGTGGCACTTGTAAAAGAAGTATGAGGTGGAGATGTACTAATACTGCTAAGATTTATCACAGCCCAGGATGGCTCTGTGCATGTACAGCTTTCAGCCATGCTCAAACCTGCTCAGTAGCCATACCTTCCTCTTTTCTTTGACAAAAAGTGCCCTGGTTTCTAGGACAATTCTTAAAAATAGAAACCTTTAGAACTCGTTCTCAATTACAGCTAATACTGTCACCCTAGGGTTATCTGGAAATCTATGGACACTTTTATTTTTGGTTGCCACAATGACAGGGAGAAGGAAGAAGAGGTGTGTCTGTGCTATTAGCAGTGGTACCTGGGGATCTGGGATATTAAAACTTCCTGTAATGTATGGACAGTAAAGAAATGCCCTGCTCAAAATGGCAACATGGGAAAATGCCCTAGAATCAGACTAAAGCCCTAAAACAGACATTTTCTGCATTATTTGAAGACACTGCCTACACCTCTTTTCTTTAGGACAATTCCTTAAAAAATCTCTGAACCCACATGTTTCCCAAAACCCCAGAAACCATATACTAAACGATTCATTTCACCCTTTTAGCATTTTCCATCTGTCTCCCCACCACCACTGCTCACTTGTTTTTCTTGCCATAGTCGGCCAAGATAAGATCTTTGAGCTGCACCTCCACCTTGATCCACTCCTCGTCAGTCAGAGTGGGCCAGATGTGGTGTGGTTCTGTAATGGTAGTCTTGTCTGGCTTCAGGATCACCTTTGCTCGGTCATTGTTAACATGAAGAGCACGCAAAATCAGGATGAGACGGGAGAAAGCCTGAGAAAAGGTATGGCAGCAAGGGCGGGGGGGTCAGCCACTAGATGTCCTTCCTTGATTTCCTTTCAGGGAACCCAGGAATGGATTTCAACCACTCTCCCAGTCAACTTTACATGCAGAGCATAGAACTGTTATCTCATCCACAGGTTAAAGATATGAAAATGGCCTCATTAGGGAACCTGAGTAAAAGCTAAGGAAGGCACAGGATTGTCTCGTGGCCCCAAAACCACTTTTCTTAGAGTGACCCTCTTTGTTAGGGGATTTCATACCGTGTAAGATGAGATAGTCTTGAGCCAGTCATCATAGAGATTAAAGAGAACCATCTGGGGTTCAGTGGCTTTAAGGATGAGGTCTCCAAACTTTTCCACCTTGAGACAAGCCTGGAAAGGTAGTTGGAGCTCTGATCCTTTGATCACAATATTGGGGAAGTCCAGCAAGTGCACCTGAAACAGGATATCAAGTCCAATATTTAAAAAAGAGCCTGCAGGTCTCAGCCCTTCTTTCTTCTACCTCATCCACCTCTCACCTCCAATGGGTCCAGCATGCCCTTCCTAGTAACAATGATCTGCTTGGGCTGCTCCTCTACAGGCAGAGATCGGATCAGGGCAGCCACTTCCTCAGCTGTCTTCCACTTAGCCAGCTAAAAAAAGCAAGAGGGGATGAAATGGAAATTGAATTTCTACTATCCCAGGTCAAAGTGAACAAAGATCCTAGTCTTGAAATAATCAACCCAGGTTTCTGCTGCACACTGCTATTGAATGTTGGGTACTTTAGAGATACAAAATGTCAAACTGCCTTGCCCTAAAGGGTTTTTCAACCTAGTTGGCCAAATAAAACTCAATCAAGCTGTACCACAAACTGCTATTTGATTACATATGTCAGGGACAAAACAAATTAAGACTAAAGGTCATAAACAGCTGCACAAAGAAACAGGAAAACTTTATTTAAAGAGCAAGCGATAAAGCACACCACTGGGGGAAGGGGCAAAAGGAGGAGAGACTCTCAGACTCCAAGTTGAGCATAGAACCTAACATGGGGGCTCAATCCCATGACCCGAGCCAAAATCAAGAGCTGGATGCTAAACCAACCAAGCCACCCAGGTGTCCCAATGCACAAATAAATAGGTCTTAAGGGATGAGTAAGACTATGATTAACGGAGTAAACAGGAGAGTTCATTCTAGAAAGAAAACATATAAGCAAAGCCACAGAAGCGGAAATGAACATCAGAGTTTGGGGGGAAAAAAGGATCCTGGATTGGTTGCAAGAGAAAACAGGCTGGGGTTTTTTGTTTTTAATTAATTAATTTGCTTGAGAGAAAGTGCACACATACGCAAGAGACAGCATGGTGCGGGGGGAGTGCAGAAAGAGAAGCAACCTCTCTGCCGAGCAGGGAGCTTGATGCAGGGCTTGATCCCAGGAACCTGGGATGGCAGCTGAAGGCAGACATTCAACAACTAAGCCACCCAGGTGCCCAAGAAGTAGGTTTGAAAGGAAGAGAAACTGTGATTGAAGAAGTTATAGCCCACCCAGATATCATGTGTCTAGGAAGCCAAAGAAGAGTTAAATCTAGCAAGAAGGGCTACCAAAGGCTTATAGCTAAAAATGTGGTAAAAGTAATGTTTTAAGAACATTTGTTCTCTTTAAAAAGATGATTTTTGGGACACCCGGGTGGCTCAGCAGTTGAGTATCTGCCTTTGGCCCAGGGCATGATCCTGGAGTCACGGGATCAAATCCCACATCAGGCTCCCTGCATGGAGTCTGCTTCTCTTTCTGCCTATATCTCTGACTCTCTCTCTCTCTCTCATAAATAAATAAGTAAAAATCTATAAAAAGATGACTTTTGGCAGTCTTATTCAAGATAGGTTAAAGATAAAGGAGATTTGGGGGTGCCAGGGTGGCTCAGCAGTTGAGTGTCTGCCTTTGACTCAGGGCATGATCCTGGGGTCCCGGGATCAGGTTCCACATTTGAGCTTCTGCAGGGAGCCTGCTTCTCCCTCTGCCTGTGTCTCTGCTTCTGTGTGTCCCCTCATGAATAATTAAAATGTTTTTTGTTTTTGTTTTTAAAAGAATAGAGTCAAGAAACAGAGACCAAAAGTAGGTAATGAAAAGACCTCACACATTGCTTGGCCTCCAACAGAAGATACTTCCCAAGTTAAATAATTCAGGGAAAAGGTTCAAATGAGATACCCTTACCTCTCAGAGAGAAACAGAAGGATGCCCCCCCTCCACTAGCTGTCTCTCACACACACAACTCCCCGCCCCAAAAGAAAAAGGGGTAGTAGAAGGTAGAAAAGGGGGTAGAAAAAGGTTTTTTGTTTTTTTTTTTTTTTTTTTTTAGAAAAAGGTTCTACAGCTGCTCTATCCTTTAACCAGCTCACCTGCCCCAAACGCTTCTGTCCAGCCCACACGGATGTGTGGATTATCTTGAGGAACAGCTGCCCTGTGCGTGGATTAAAGATGAAGATGGCCCCATTGATGGGTTTGGTCGTCAAGTTCCCTTCAAAGGTCTAAATAATGATTACATCAGTTAGCACAGCCTAGACAATACCATCCTGCCTTTACACCATATACATTTGCCTTAGCACCTCCGATAGGCATATATAGAGCCCCACATTCCTATACTGCTTCTAATTCTCACCTTATGGATAGTCACTCTGTAGACATTAGTGTCATCCACAAACCAGATAATCTGGTTGGAGAAGAGCTCCCCATAATTCTGAGAGGACAGATAGGGCTCAGTGGGCTCAGATGAATAGAGCTGCAGCCCTTTGCGGATCCGTTCACGTAACACATACAAGGCAGGGTTTGCCTTCATGATTTTGGCCATGGCCTGCTGTATGAGAGGCTTGCTGCCCGGGAACCAGTTTCCATAGGCACTATGAGAATAGAAGAGATGAGAAAAGTAAAGACTAGGGTGGCAGCCACAGGAAAAAGGCAAACTGGAACTCAACAAAGAAGACTGTTGGCCAGGCAGACAAGTGTCTGCTCATGTACACAGAGGCAAGGAAGAAAAAAATCAGTGACCCAGAAAAAGAAAGGGCCGCCCTTTAGGTAAACTAAAAAACACACGTATATTAAAGTATAGGGCCGACTGAG